TTAAAAATAAAATAAAATAAAAATAAAAAATGACCATTTTGTATCTGTATATTCAAAATAGGATACATATACAGCTACTTTTTCTTAATTCAGTGACTAGAAAGATTTGTACTAACAGTGTTTGGACAGGATATCATGTCTGCATCTTGTACAATGAATAACCACTAAGAAGACACAATATACCATATATTAATTATTGAAACTGTCCTCCTAATGGGTTTTGAAATTGTCTCATTGGTATTTGTTTCTCAATAATATTACTTTTTTAAAAAAAAGAAGTCAACCAATAACAAATGCTGGAAAGGCTGCAAAGAAAATGGAACCATTTTGCAATCTTGGTGGGAGTGCAGACTGGTGCATCCACTATGGAATATAATGTGGAGATTCCTTAAAAAGTGAGGATTGGAGATCCCAATCAATCCAGCTATTGTGCTCCTGGGTATTTTTCCAGAAAAACTGAAAGCCTCATACAATAGCAATATATGTGCACCCATGTCTATAACAATGCAATTTGACAGAGCTAAATCCTGGAAATAACCTAAATGCCCACCAACTGAAGAATGGATAAAAACAATGTGGCATTGTTACACAATGGATTTTTAATCAGGTATAAAGCAGGATAAATTTAAGTCTTTTATCAGTGAATGGTTGCAACCAGAGAACATACTTTTAAGTAAAATAAATCAGACACACGTGTGAAAGGATCATATTGTCTCCTTATTGTGAGTACCTAGAGAGAAAAATGGAATCTGAAGAATACAATAGATACTAGGAAAAGGAAATGAACTTATTCTAAAGTAAAGAGATATTGAGCTGAGAAGAAGAATAGGAGAGGGAGTGGGCAAAAGAGAGTTTTCTATGTATATAAGCAGAATGGTTTGGACAACCATACTGCGCATTTCTGCTAGTCTATGGAAAGAAGCAGTTGATGCTTTAAGATGTTTCATCTCCTTTTTCAATTGTTTGTACTTTTTCTCTTCTTAGGGTCACATACATTTACATTTCTTTCTTTTTATCTTTCTTCTTCCAATTTTACATGCATATATCTGGTAACAGGAATAAATGGTTGGAAGACAACACTATGCATTAAAACAAATACTGTTGAAACTCATATTACTTTTTTAAGTGAAATTCTCCATCACTTGTAATATTTTCTGTTTTAATTCTAATTTGTACTCTCTTTAATAATGAGTATATTATATAAAATAAATATATATACAGTCTATTTATTAAAAATTTATTTTGAAAACCCAGTATTTCCCTTTGGTGTATGATGTGCACCTTTGCCTTAAATGAGTCTGTGCACAGAGGACAATGGTACAGTCCTGCCAAGGAACAGAGAAAAAGTCATTCAACAGTGGCCAGGTTACTGCAGGAGACAAAAACTGATTCACTATGGTCCCGGTCAAGGAAATGAGCTCTATGATAAAAATACAGCCCTCATTTTCAGGCAAAATGAGACAAATTTTATTTATTCCTTCAAATAAAATCTTGGAATAATGAATTTAGAGCAAATGCAGATGTCAGTGAGTCATGAATTTTTTTTTTGAGTCATGAATATTTTTACTGGGATAGAAGAATCAATGTAAGGACCTGCCAAATAGCACAGCAGATGCCGGGGTTTGATCCCCGGACCTGCCGTGCTGGCCCCACCCCCGGGGTGCGCTGAGATGGCAATTGAAACTGGGCGTGATGGGGCACGCCTGTGATCCCAGCTCTAGGGGAAGCTATAAACTGGTGGATCACTACACGTCTGACCTAGTAGTGAGACCCTGAACACCCTGTAAACTCTTCCCTAAAATACAAAAAGAAGAAGAGGAGGAGGAGGAGGAAGAGGAAGAGGAAGAAGAGGAAGAGGAAGAAGAGGAAGAAGAAGAGGAAGAGGAAGAGGAAGAAGAAGAAGAAGAAGAAGAAGAAGAAGAAGAAGAAGAAGAAGAAGAAGAAGAAGAAGAAGAAGAAGAAGAAGAAGA